CTGCCTAATCGTACGCCCTATGTAGTAAGTTCCCTCGGAACGGTTAAATTAACATATACAAAATGACCAGCTAAGATTAGGTAGGCTAGCCTTCAGTCTCGGAATGAGCATTGGTAGACTCTTGGATAACAAACAAAGTCAACCTGTTTCAAACGTCCTATTTACTGCTCTAACTCGGCGTTGTGATACAATGTCACTTGCAGCATCTTCCTTGAATTGTAAGCGAAGAAACAAAAGCTTCTTCTCCGTTGTCATCAGTTCTCGTTTAGGATCCACGTAGTTGATATCAGTTTTGATGAACTTGTTCGGATATCTGATTTCACTTAGAATATCCTGAATGCACAGCAGTTCTTTTTCTACACACTCCTTAGGACAAATCGATCTTATTCTAAGCGTCAGGCACCTGATTATATTGCATTTGTACTTCATCGGAACGAAGCTAATAAAGTGTGATACTCAGCTTTAGACGTTAGTTTTCCATTTATATTTCTCAGCATAGAACCAACTTCTTTTACTGTCATAAGCGCATCAAGAAAATGTATTGAATCATTAGTTTTATTTTCGTATGTGAAATGAATTGATGGGTGAAATGAAATCAATGATTCGATATGTTTTTTTGATATGCTTATGACAAGAAAAGAACATGGTTCTTTACGCTGTACCAATGCGTTTTATAATTTTAGAACCTGTAGCGAATTTATTGAAAAGAATATTCTTCGTTGAGATTGTTGCTCTTTACAGATAATACAGTAATCTTTAGGTGTTTGAAATCATAAAAAAAGATATGTCCCTGAATGACTACTGAGCCAACACAAGTTAATCAATGAAACTGTTACTAGAATTACAGAATGGTCCTACTGCCTTCCCGGCTTTCAGCAACTTTATAGCCTTCTGGACTTCAGTTCTGCTTTTGTCGAAGGGCTTGTGTTCACTGGTAACTCTTCGGTTACTGGTGCTATTTCTGAACGAGTTGCAGGTGGCGGTCGATCCAAGAGTTTTTGAAGTGGTCAGCCCATTGTTTTCTTTGTTTCCATCCTTGCTAACCAGGTTTCCTTCACTACCTTTCACTGGTTTCGTCTACGTTCATCTCTTCGCTGATGGTGACCTGGCTATTTGATACAGTGTTGTCAGGTCTCTTCTAACTGCAGCCTGTTTTGTTTCATTTACAAGTGTGTCGTAGAAGTGTCTTTAGTCTTTTCCAGCACTCTTCGTTTCTCCTTTGTCCAGTGTAGGGTTTTATACGTTGTGTTCAGTTCCTCTTTTCGTGTTCATCTCTGCACTGGAAGGGTTCATCTTCTGCTTCATCATCTTACTCTCCCTGCTCTATAGCTTCCGCATGTTCATGAACATCATTTCTTGTCTTGCTTCTTCTTCCTTCCTAATACGATTATGCAGGTGTCTGTCCACACAGCTTTTACAAAGCTCCAGTGTCCTTACACGCAAGTTCCTTCGGCGATGTTGCTTAATATCTCCCGTTTTCTCCAGATGGCTGACTGACGTGAAGATGTCTTTGCAGTTTCATCCCTCAGATCTCTTTCTGTTCTGAGCATTCAACTTGAACCATGATGTATCATCAACTTCTGTGAAGGCTTACAACTACATTTCAAAGGTTCCTTACACCAGATAGTCTGATGGTTTGAACATATATCTACTCACCTTCTTGATCTCCTGTCCAGTAGCCTGACTGAGTCTCCACTTTCTTCACATTCAGATAAAGTCGATTTGACTTTCAGGGTAGTGTGTCCCGGTGGCTGGTCAAATCAAATCCATGTCGCTACCTTCTGAATATCCTTGTGTTTGTACACACTGCCTCACTCCAATCACCAACCGTTGAATGTGCAGAAATCTGCAAACACTTCTCCATTCTCATTCATTTCACCGAGCGCTTCCCGAACCATGATGAGTTCTCTTCCTGTGTTGTCCGCTCCCAGTTTGGCATTCATGTGACCCCAACGATTACAATTTTGATGTCGCCAACTGCGGTGGGCTCTTGTTCACTATTGAATGCATTTGTCTGTAGAATTCCTCCTTCTTCTCTTCATATGCATTATTTGTAGGTGCGTAGCGTAGCGTAGCACTGTATCATTGTGTCCTTCCTTCCTCTTGAGTTGGATCCATCTGACTGTCATTATCCTGATGCTGCAGGAGGAGATTGGTTCCCACTGCATGAGAGAGAGCCATTGATGCTGTTGGGGATATCATGATAGCCACTCGAAAACTCAGTGTGCTCGTGGTTGTCGTTTGGGTGGCGATATCGGAGCAGATTATTGACTCCTCTACAGTTGACAGTTTGGAGAGTCCACTTCTATTCCATCCACAGACTCCTCGCAGATTCCTAGCACTTCCATGCTATGCCTTCTCATATCTTTGGCAATGTGGGCAGTCTTGTCCAGGCAACCTCAAATATGGTATGGATATTCCATGTCCCCATCCTTACTTTCGCTTTCATGGAGAGAAAAGAAGGTACATTGGGCAATTGGCTTCACGAGGGCTTTCACCAACCGGCGTCATTTTGTCTCTCCGATCTCAACGAGAGATGAGTGTATTTTTGCTTTTATATTTTTTGTTTTGTTTTGAAGTTTGTTTAGTGATCGGATTGGTTTTCCGTTGTAGGGTTTCTAGCTCAATGCGCAACCTTCCCTCATTATGTGGGTTAGGATCGGTTAGTAACTAGTGAACTATTTATCCAAGCGACGTTAAAAATAATGATACTGGTAGGTAAATCGACAAATAAAGTGTCTTAGAGAGATTAAAACCAGGGTAATGCTAGAGACTGGAAGTCACTGTTTTGAACTGAGAGATCAGGCTTAAATTGATGGATTCTCAAGGCCTCTTCTCCGTTCCAGCGGGGAGTCTGCACCTTATTCGAAATGTTTGATTTGACTTTATGAATGACTTTTAAGGAAGATTCCAATGGAGCTGACTGACCAGAGTTAACCATATGCTCATGATTCGAGCAGCTAATCTCTTTACAATCTCCTCAATACAGACATGAAGGACAGTATTTCTGTGATGCATTTGGACAGAACGTACTTCATGTGACTTATATGACCAGCTCCACAAGATCAGGTGAATTGGTAGACACACGCGCAGGTGGCCCAAATCGTACCGTCGAATCATTTGTTGACTGGCAAAAACAATCCTGTGGGGAACGTGTTGACATAACTCGATAGTTATCTCAAGACGCGATGCGGTTTATACCCTTCAGGTTCAAAGATCACTATACTAAGACTTCATTTAGTGACTTTAATAAAAGGATCTACTACACTTGGCAGAATGTTGCGTACTGAGAAAGTAAAATCATCCACAAAATACAATCTTACTTCTTATATACAAAAGATACAATGTGACCTTGAGATGGCAAATAGTAATTCACAATAGACAGACTGCTGGATAGAAGAAATCAACGTAGAACCTCGTACAGAAGTGTATCCGTTCAAGTTGTCAGACTTCACAGCAGTATAGTGAGAAGAGATGGATGGAGAGAGTGATGGAGAGGGAGAGAGAGAGAGAGAGAAATGGAAGTGAATGAAGTTGTGTGAAAGAATGAACACTATGATGATAAAAGTGTGTGTGTGTGTGTGTGTGTGTGTGTGTGTGTGTGTGTGTGAATATTCAAGGTTTGGAAGATGTCAATGGGTGAATATATCTGCTGTATTGTGATTGATTTTCATGCATGTTGGTGATATTCGTCAACCACTGATTCCTATAATCTCGGCGATCCCAGGAGGCAGTCTACATGAAGTGGAAAACATGAAGAAAATGCATATTTTTGATCATGTGTGTCTTCACGTGTTTTCTGTGTTTAGCGGAATCACTGTGTGACGAGCATTGACTTTTGGTTAGAAAATTGAGGAAATAATATATTTCGGTTGATCCAAATGTGTACGGTGGCTTGGACATATGTCGTGTTTGCCAAGTCCCCACCTACATCAATCTGAAATTTTAACCCAAGATGGATAAGTCTGGAAGAATGCTGAGGGTGGTCAGCTCAAGAGTTGTTACCCCTTCATGAAGTCTCTAGCTACTGGTTTGCACTGTTTAGGGAGGCTTAGATTATTTGGTCGGGTTCCTCGAGATGACAGGATTCAATGGTTGCAGAATCATGGTGATTTGGCTGAAAATTAATGACAATGGCATAGAAGTATTAGTGCCTTGTCAACTAAAAAGGCTTGAGCATTTTATTGACCTATGTCTATTTTAAGCTATCGTGTTATATGGGAACTTGGACCGATCTATGTCAGTGCTAATTTATCACGTTGGTCTGTCTGTGACTTACAACGACGAAGTGCAAACATGACCTTGAAAGAAAAGTCAAACGAAGAGTATTTTAGTAAAATATGTACAATTTTGCTGACGTTGCACTTTTGGAAGTAATTTTTTTAGTTGTATACTTTTGACCTTATATTTTACTGAGTAAGAGAATCTTAGGAAATGTTACAATACTAAACAAAACTCAACTTTATTATTTGTTTAAAAACACGTTATCATTCATGCTTATGGGGATTTTAATGTAACGCCTGCTAACATACCAGAATCACTGACCATAATCCCATCATCAACTATGTTTACTGTAAAAACTTGCCAAATATGAATACGCTATTGTTACTTAACACTTAACCATTGGACAGCTTGAATAGATGAATTGCTTCATAGCTTGCTGTGCAGTAAAACGTCTTTTGAGATAGATCTTATTCAATTTGTTAATAAATTAACTCATTTTTATACTGTTCATCTCTTTCTGGAAAAATTTTAATTAGAACGATATAATGGTAATTATTTGTTTACGGGATCAATATACTTTGGTTTAGTCAAAGAACAGATTAATTATTAATAAATGACCTCAAATGTACTAAATAAACTCTGAAAATTTGTTACAGCTCACAAATCTAGATAAATAACCAACCAACTGTTGACAAGATTTTAAAACAGAAACTGAATTTTGTGAAATTTTTATAAGCGAGCAGAACAATCTTATTGTGTAACCTTCTCAAAGAGATATGCCGTCTGCAATCAAAAGTGTTTCTAGTCCTTCTAGTTATTCGAATGAATGCAATAGTTATTCTAATCGGGAATCTATGATGAATAGTGAAATGAATGATATTGAAACATTGAACAATTCAAAGTGTGAGAACGAATTATTATCTATACATAAATTACCACTTCATGAACGATATGAACACAAAAATGATAATTCGTATGGTATGTGTAAGTAAAATATTGATCCTATTGAAATTTACCCGCCATGTTGAAACTGTGGATATCATATCACATCGTCTTGATATGATTATTGACAATAAATGATATCCGAAACGTAATCCAGTAGACACTACTGTTACACTGTGTACTAAATCTAATAAATCAGTTAAAATGAATTTATCTACGTTGTGTGTTAGATGACAGAAGTTAATACAGAAATGCTCTGGACTTCATAGGTTTTATACCTCTTAGTATTGAGTAGCATAGTGTACCTGAAGTATTGAGAATACTCATGTTTCTTCGCAGACATGAATCTTTTTCTTCTCATGATGAAATCAGTGACTAGATGCCAGGAACATATGACAATTAAAGTCACCACTGACCGTCATGCAGGAATTCATTATGGAAATAAATAGGTGACCAAACTTTAGCTAATGTGAACAACATTGTAGACAGGTATTCTGAGTTGATTGCTTCGTAAATAATTTTCATAAATCAGTTTCTTGACTATTCTCTCTGTATCTAGGATGTGCTTTCATCTAAAAGGTATGGTGGTTATTAGTTATTTTTCGTAAACAGCTATCCCTTTGTACTCATTGAACACAAGTGCACAGTGATTAGTATACATTTAGGTTTTTGTATTCATTATTATTATTTGTCCCTTGGGTTCCTAGTAGAATATATGGCTTTGGTAGCACGTCTATATCCCATTCTGTTTCCTCCAGCCTTTTGAACCTAGCTCGACAACTGCCCACAACCTTTCATTTCTTCCTCAAATATTCTCCTTCCTGTCGCCCCCGTCTCGGATGCTCAACTCGTCACTTCCCATTTGAATTCCACTCCACAGCCTGGCCTCGCGCATGATATCCCCAAACGGTCTTCTCAGTCTATGAACAATCCAATCCTATCCCATCCATCTCCACTTTCTCATCTGTGCCACCTGTAGTTGAAACAACGCTGCCTAGATAGGTGAACGAGGCAACTTCCTTTAGGCTTTTCCTGTTAATATTTATTTGTGCTTGTTGTTGTTGGTTGGGTATCTTCATCACTTCTACGTTCACTTGAAGTCCCATCTTCGCTGCCTCGCCTCTTCTGTCAACTTGTTGGCTTTTGTCTGTAGATCTTCAAGTTTATCCTACAAGAAATGAGACATAAATCATCATCTTTGGCGAAATCCGAATCTTCTTGGGTCTTTTTCATCGGTCCAGCGTATGCCCTATCTCCCAATTATCAAAAGCTCTTTACATGATCCAGTCGAGTTGACCACGATCAGGAAGATAGTCGGTTCTTTGAAGGCTTTCAACTACATTTTAAAGGTTCCTTGCACAGATAGTCTGATGGTTTGAACATATATCTACTCACCTTCTTGATCTCCTGTCCAGTAGCCTGACTGAGTCTCCACTTTCTTCACATTCAGATAAAGTCGATTTGACTTTCAGTGCAGTGTGTCCCGGTGGCTGGCCAAATCAAATCCATGTCGCTGCCTTCTGAATATCCTTGTGTTTGTACACACTGCCTCACTCCAATCACCAAACCGTTGAATCTGCAGAAATCTGCAAACACTTCTCCATTCTCATTCATTTCACCGAGCGCTTCCCGAACCATGATGAGTTCTCTTCCTGTGTTGTCCGCTCCCAGTTTGGCATTCATGTGACCCCAACCGTTAGAATTTTGGTGTCGCCAACTGAGGTGGGCTCTTGTTCACTATTGAATGCATTTGTCTGTAGAATTCCTCCTTCTTCTCTTCATATGCATTATTTGTAGGTGCGTAGCGTAGCGTAGCACTGTATGATTGTGACCTTCCTTCCTCTTGAGTTGGATCCATCTGACTGTCATTATCCTGATGCTGCAGGAGGAGATTGGTTCCCACTGCATGAGAGAGAGAGCCATTGATGCTGTTGGGGACATCATGATAGCCACTCGAAAACTCAGTGTGCTCGTGGTTGTCGTTTGGGTGACGATATCGGAGTAGATTATTGACTCCTCTACAGTTGACAGTTTGGAGAGTCCACTTCTATTCCATCCACAGACTCCTCGCAGATTCCTAGCACTTCCATGCTATACCTTCTCATATCTTTGGCAATGTGGGCAGTCTTGTCAGGCAACCTCAAATATGGTATGGATATTCCGTGTCCCCATCCTTACTTTCGCTTTCATGGAGAGAAAAGAAGGTACATTGGGCAATTGGCTTCACGAGGGCTTTCACCAACCGGCGTCATTTTGTCTCTCCGATCTCAGCGAGAGATGAGTGTATTTTTGCTTTTATATTTTTTGTTTTGTTTTGAAGTTTGTTTAGTGATCGGATTGGTTTTCCGTTGTAGGGTTTCTAGCTCAATGCGCAACCTTCCCTCATTATGTGGGTTAGGATCGGTTAGTAACTTGTGAAGTGGTTTACCTGGCTAGTTTAGGTTTTTATCTTTCCTTCCCTTTAATCTTTGCTGGACATGACTGTTGTTTCATGACTTGTTATTCTTGTCACAAGATTTCATGGACTGGAATAAGGGTGTAGAAACTGTCAGAATCTTTTATTTTTTCCATGGTCATGGTTTTTTTCTTGTAAATATTTCCTTATTAACACAAAAGGACATTTAGTTTTTAGTGATATTTTTGTTTTTACTAAATTTAATTAGAAAAGAATCATTCTATGAAAGAAAACCAGAATATGGCTTTTGATACGTATAGATCGATAGGGCAAATAAGGAGGATATGCTTACAGATACAATGGAGTATACGAACTGCAAAGAAAACATTGATTTTGGCAATCAGATGGTGTTCAATGAAGGTAGGGTTATGCAAACGACATATACAAAGGATTTCCACAGAAAGAATCATCTACTTTAATATCATTACGGTATGTTCCTTACAATGGGAATATGTGATTTCAAAAAGACTAAGCTGTGATTATAACCTTGAAAACATTTTTCTAATTTTTTCACTACAAACATCCCCTGTATATTTGTGATGTGTAAATGATAAAGGAACAACGCAATGAAGACCAAGTGTCTTTCAACAATGTGATAATAGATAAAGTTAAGGGTCAGTTATAAAATCATTGATATTTTGAAATCTACACTAATGATGTTATCACGTTATACAATATTATGACTGTTACCTTTATAGTCCTACGTGAATGACACTCAGGAAACTGTTCATCCACAGAATAGGTTGTAAGAATAGAAAATTACTACTGGATAGAATTTCCTATTCAAAAATATGTTTAGTTGTTGTGCTCACTGATACCTTCCTTCTTCAGAAAACTGTTTATTATTCAGATTCCCTCCATCCAGTAAAATAAAGTAATATCTGTTGTCAAATTATAAAAAGACAAAATTATTTTTAAGCAAAGATAAGTTACTTGCAGACAATTACTTATGTTACATAAAAAAATGACATCAAACTTGATGGAATGACTAAAATGTCCGCAACTAAAAGTATATTTTCACTTACAGAGTTTTACAAATACTTTAATAGTTCACTTGGTTTTCTCAGTAGTAAGCAGCCTGAAAATGAAACAAAAATAGATGAAGCGCTAGAATAAATTACCACAGCATTAAGTATCAGTTTATACCACAATCAAACGCTTTAGGCATAAAAAAGAGAATCTAGTGATCAACACATTTTCCTACTTTGTCAGTTTGCCATCATAGCTAATATGAAGACAGATACTCGCTGACGGTATATTATAAATTGATATATATCTGAAAAGCGTAACCATTGGATTTCGACTCATCGCATGAGTGGTAGCAGGGTCATTGCGTAACGTGGTGGTCGTGGTGTAATCCATCGTGCAATCGTCGATGTGCACTGTTGATGAATCCTAGTCTGGAGAGAGACACCTATTCAGTGATCTTAATTTTTCAGTAGTACTCAAAATGATGTTGGTCCCTGACAAAAACTAACTTGAAATTAATTATGTCTAAGTTAATGCGTTCACACAGTGATGTTCCCTGATTTCTTCGTGGTACTGGCAATCAAATCGATACGGGAAGTGGTGGGCCAATTCTTCTACTTTGATTACAATATCTGCTTTTCTTCATAATACCAGCAAAAGGATTAGTTTGACTGGTTTCAAACAAACTACAGATATTCATCAACAACTGCCTTCGCTCTTTACTAGAGATCAGATGGCCAAAAGGAATAAGCAACAAGAAACTCTAGCAACGAATCAACCAAGGACCTATCTTTCAACAAATTTGCAGGAGGAAGTCGAGATGGATTGGGTGGGCATGCACTGAGAAGACCATTTGAGGACATCATGTATCAGGTCAGGCCCCTGAGTGGAACCCAAATGGGAAACGGCGAGTTGGGCGTCCGAGGGTGACATGGAGGAGATGGTGTGAGGAAGAAATGAGAGCTTCTGGGCTGTCTTGGAGCCAGGTTTGAAAGATTTCCAAGAAGAGAGCGGGATGGAAACGTGCTACTGAAGCCGTATGTTCCACTAGGAACTCAAGGGATAAATAATAATAACTGACTGGTTTTGAAGCTGAAATATTTGAAGGTTGTGCTAAGTCTAAATTTACGGAAGAAAAAAATAACTAAGACACTTAATATACTCCTATTCTCAACGATTTAATATCTAAGTGATATTCAATAAAAGTTCGTTTATTGAAAGGAGTAAGTGTACTCCTACATTTTTGTAAATCAACAGAATTTTCCTTAAAAAAGGTTCAAATGTTTTCCCATCACTATACATTTCCTGCTTCTGATCAAGCATATTGATGATGACATGTGAATACATTACTAAAGATGAAAATTTCAGTTTCTATGAAACACATTTGTGTAAAACATTGAATTTCTCATCTTTTAAATTCATCTTATTATATTTTATTTTATTGATTTTAGACCAAGATCAACTAGATACGCTTTTGCAGCTCCAACATATAGATCTATTAGTACACCGAACAGTTTTCGAACTAATATTATTGTGGACATGATTAATTCAGTTGACGGTCCACATAAAAGTACATATTCAACAGATTATATTGGTTGTTGGACTCCTAGACGAGTTCCACCAATTAGAACAGCTACTTCAAGTGGAACAAGAGCAAATAAACCTCATCCAAGGAAAGTAAGAATTGACTGATTTCTAGTCACATTGTTTTCAATAGAATGGACGTTCATTTGTTTTGAAATTCAATGTTTAAACAACATTCTCAAGGTAGTAAGTGCCATACACTGGTAGTGTATGCTAGAAAATAAAGACCCTTATGAATGCTTAGAATTTCGATTTGTTAATAAACGATGATTAAAAGTTTTGAAATAAATTGTACTTACTGGTATTCAGAATAAAATCTTAACAGTTTGGATTGCTTATACTATGAAATTAATCTAGCCATCCACGATGAAACTAGTCTCATATTTACTTAAATCTCATAAGACACTCAATGGGATAATAATTCGGAGGTCATTTTCGACTAACTTCCGAACATTTTTCAAAGGGTTCTACTAAGATATCTATGTCAGCGGGTTACATAGTTAAAACTAATGTTCACCGATATTACTACCTAATATTCGTCATAGAATGAAGAAGATTTTGAACCATTAGACTTCCATCGCTAACAGCACAGCAGTGTTTCAACTAGGAAACTGTACCTTTATGTTTCGAAGTATAATGTCAAGGCTAAGCTTTTCCTAATAGTCTCCTACTTGAACAAAACAAGGTTTTAACACTTTTCGATTCTAACTATTTGCTCAGCTAATTAAGTTTGACAATGAAGGCCATCTTCAAAGACTGAGTAATTGTGAGGTGATAAATCTGTTGAATTTCATATTTAATGTACAACACTTCGCTAAAACAAAAAGAAACCTTCACTCTTCAGATCCTAACGCTTTCATTGCAATAAACCTTAATTTCTTATTAGTAGTAAGGCTATTTCGTATAAAAAAAATGAATAGTTCAAAAAGAATTTAACAGAAAATTTTTGTAGAATAATATTAATGATAAACTTATTACAAGTAAAGCTACAGTGTTGTCTAAAGGGCAGCGAGTAATAAATTTAAATAGGAATCAGTGAACGATAGGAATAAATTATCAGTTGATGAGTCAGCTGGTGGAAATATTCATTTTTCTCGTCAAATTACTTCCTGTTTAAGCAAAATAAGCAAAGACTGAAAGACATGTTGCCAGGTTAAGAAAGAATTATAAAGAAATGTGGGTTCAATATTATTTCACTGTTTTTGAAATAATGGAGAATATTTGTAGCTCAGGTGGATGGTCTTGGCTGTATAGTGTTCTATGAGCTGGGTTGCTTAATTATGAAGCTTTCATCGTCTTTCTGGATGACTGATGATGTCGTCCAGAAAGACGATGAAAGCTTCGCGATTACTTCACTGTGTTTGTCATTGTCATTAATTACAAAAAATAAATGAATGGGAAAAAAGTTTATTATGAGTAATAAAACGAGTTTCCAAATGAACCTTCATGAAGAGTATATACAGCCACGGTGATTTTGACTTTAGCCTGTAAGTGACTATAATGTTAGTGAAACATTTGGCATGAATGTTAAAAATTAGTCAGAACAAAATTAAACTATCTAATGAAAGTGACAAGACACAGGTTAAGATAAAAATTAGACAAAAATCAACATTTTAACCTCCGTTATTACACACAAATATTTCCGACATCCAGGCTTGAATGTTGGCATAACTAGTCCCTAAAATACAATAATGTCCATGTTTTTGACTTCATTTAGTTTGATCTTCTCAAATTCAAGTAATCATAGACCTAACTTGTTTTTTCACTTATTTCTGAAGGAAATTCGTTTAAACTCGTTTGTTGGATATCTAGTTACCTGTCTGCTTTAATATAATGAAATTATCAACTCTTTCTCTCTCTGTCCTATTTTAAGTATCATAATTTAACTGTACAAAATATTTTTTTTGCCTTCCACCTGCGTGAAGGAGTCATTGTTTGACAACGGTAATGAGTTTCAGAAGATTTTAAAATTTTCCTATCAGATGCGACAGACTAGGAGTTTCTCCATTCGAATATAAGCAATAAACGGCACAGTAAAACATATTCATCTAATGTATATTGAACAGACCGACTAGCTTTATTGAGGCGAAGGTATGTCATTAAGGAGAACCTAAATGATGACAGACATGATGAGCGTGATGTTCTATGGTTAATTATAGTCTACCGAGTTTGAATGCTGCTTGACACTTATCAGTAATAAAAATCTTTAATTTTTAAAAAACTTATGCTCACTATGAGGTTAGAATTACTGTTACCGAGAATTACAGTCAAAGGCAGTTGTTATTAGCTGTTCCATAAGACATTATATTTTTACTGAATAAAACTTAATAATTATGGTAAATAATGATTTAATTTCTGTCAATTTATTAGAATTACGACATAATTTAATTTACTTGATAACATATTGAGTACAATTTGTTGTCCATAGTCATATCACGGTAAATCCACAACTTTGAGAAGTGGTTTAGATAGTTTTGAGTGACCTCAAAGGACATTCTGACAATTGCCAAGACAACCAATTAGGCTTTCTTTTTATAAAAAAACTAACCTGATGGACTATTTGAGCAGATGATTGGGTGGTCCATAGATGGGATCATGGCTCTAATTTTTTCTCCTTCTTTATAACATAGGTAGTAAATGTTTTCATAGGCCTACTAACGTTCTAAGACATTCCTGATGGATTTATTCGGTGTTGATTCGATAAGCTCGGTTACAGTTATTGTGTGAAACTGCACACAGCACCACAATGAATCGAAAGAGTGACAGTCATTATAATGACTGAATATAACGGTCATCCCACCAGCCGCTGAAACAACCAATTAGGTTTTTATAACTCGTCTAGGCAGGTGGCCATTTTATACTGTCACTGGCTGCAAAAATGGGATTTAGACTTAGACCGACTCTAATGCCACCGCGGAAGCTACTTAAATAACCAACCAGATTTCCACATTTCGTAAAAAATTTACTCTCCTTGCTGAAATACTGAAATCTGACTGGTGATTTCAAAAGTCGCTGAGATGGCCCTTAGAGTCAATCTTAAATTCACTCAGTAGGAACGAATTAGCACCTGTTTCAGATACACGGAAAGGTCTACTACTCATATCATAAAGCAGAAAAGAGAATTAGAATTATATAAACCGTGTCTCAAGGTTATGGATTTACCATAAAATAAGTATGACAAATAGATTGTTTCGAAATGGGATCCAGAAAATAATACTATTTCACTGTATGATATATTTAATAAATCAACTAAGTCATTACAGAAGTTGATTAACTCCACTAAGCTGCCACTTGGAAATAACAAGTGTCACTCTACCCAATGAAGTGACCTAAACACTTTGATCAAGTTTGCCGTTATCCATAACGGATACTCATTTTTCTATCTGCCTATTATGTGCTTTTATGTATCAAGACCTAAAAACCATATTGTAAAAAACGACAAGATAGAATGTTTATTACTGACATCTTGTACAGTAGTCATTGTACACCTTCCGCTAAGGCAATCATCTGCATAATATGCTTCATTTTATTTTCTGTTTCTGTTTTGATTTGCTCTTAATACGTCAACATTGTCTCTCGCACTTCTCTGGGCAGAATATTTACCCATTTCTGATAACTGCCTATGATTTCTGCCGCCCTCTCAATATATACTACTCATGTCTATTCTGATCAACAACACCCACTACAATATTAATACTAAATAATAACGAGGATGGCAGAATGTAATTAAATTTTAAATTCAAAGAGGGTATACATGCAATAGTTTAAATATTAATCAGAAAAAGTTTATTCAACATAGACGGGATATTGACATTACTCAAGGTTTTTTCATAACTTCGAACCTTAATCAACTAAAAACTAGTTTAGTAAATAACTTTGCCATTGCAAAAAAGGAAGAAGAAACGTAGGTCCCGGTCTTCCTATTAATTATGTCTAATCAACCGGTTTCCATCAAAGTGTACCGCTATGGTAAGCCTTGTACCTTGGTAGACACATTGCGAAATCTTAGATTTGGTTCTATCAGCACTCAGGACTAGATAACATGAGACTGGTTGCCCTCCATTAAGCGACCAATAGAAAATAGTTTTGATACTTAGCATGTGTAATCTTATCGATTAGAACTAGTGGATTTGTTCAATGTTTCAATATTTACTTATGATGAAAATATGTACTTAAATAGCATACAAGCATATGGATATTGATAAGGAATTTTTATTTGTAATGCTTTAACAAGTGGTTTACTTTATAATATCCTTTGCTATTTCAACAAAACAAGGATTTTTTAACATATCGAAGTGACGGAAGTCAATTGTTATCTACTGATCAGCTGAATTCACCCTCATCAATAGTTCGTGAATCTTCGACACAACGTGATAAAAAATCTTATCCCCATCGCTATACTGAGACAGATTTAGTTCAAACGTTGGTATATAATCAGCCGAAAAGTATTCAACGTCTAACCAGTGATCAATGTGCACTTCTGAATCGAATGCGCTTGCAAAGTACATATCAAAAAGATTTCAAATACTTTTGTCATAATCATTATAATCGTTGTCAAAAGCAAGAAAAAAGTGATGAAAATCTTTTAGCATCTGGACGTAATTATCAACCTAAAGTAGGGATACAGCTTCATCCATTGTCTTTAACCCATTCACACTTTAACAAGCCAATATGGGAATGTCAAAATACCATGGATTCAAAACACGAAAGTGAGCAATTTTTAAGTGGCATTCTAAAGTTAACAGTTCCATGTACACGTTATGGTTCCAATGTGAATCATCATCGTATTGCCAGGGGGATAAGTAAGTAATTTTGATCAGCTTTTCAAAAATCAGTGACTTTGTTATATGCTTTTTGTTTGTATATAGTCAGTTGCCACCAGTAAAAACGTTTCATCAATGGATCATGGGCTGGAATCCCACCTATGTAAACAAACCTGTTTTGTTCTACATCCACTGGGAAATACAAATGCCAAAATAACAATTACAATTAAATAAATTCAAGTAAATCCATTCAGATTTATTTTACGACGTCTGGTTAAAAGAAATTTTCATGACGTTATTGACTTGTGCTGACCCGAAATAATCAACTAATTTCAGATGGCTTGCAGTAACTTTTAGGTGTTAACATTAACAATCTAACTAGAAAATTGAATTAATGGTTGTCATTGGATACGGTTTGTTTATAAATCTCAAAGTATAAGTCTGTTATGTATCTGAATAAATTCAACCGTCAGTAAATCATATATCAGACAGCAGAGATGAGTACTAGCTAGTAAAGGTGAGTCAATAATCCAAATAATTTACAAGTTAGTCACTGTGCATTATAGTGATTCAGCGGTTGGAAGGTAAAGTGCCGAGTTTGAAGCCTGACAACACTTAATTTCGTCTTCTATAGAGTTACTGGTTGCTTAAGTTGAAATGTCTATTTCTAAACTGTTGCTTAACGGATTCGACAGTTAATAAAGTATTGGGTCATTAGTCACTATTCTACTCTACCTACCAAGATTTATGTAGGCAAGCAGTATGTGTGGTTCACATACAATTTCTGAGTCAAAACCTTTCGCACAAATCCGCACATTAGTGCAACGTTTCGGCATGTATTATTTGTTGTGACCATTATTCCTGGCAATGCTAGAATATTCTACAGTCAAAGTAACATTTGCATTGTCCATAAATGAACACATTTTCAGATATGGTCATCCTTTTGAGTTAAGGTTTTATGCTCTTGTGACACTAATGACCGTAATAGGCTTTTAAGATTTGAATCAAGTTGAATACACATTTTCCATACTAAACAAGTGAACTGATGTCAACTTATGTAAAACATCAGTGTTGTTGGCAATTAGATGTCTATACAGTTCTGATATTTGAAATAATGGATAGGATTTATAGTTCAGAATGAGAATAACTAACTAACTTCTGATAACGATGACTGACTGACTGAAAAAATCAACGCAGGACCTTGCACACAGTGGCATCAGATCAAGTTGCCACACTTCTTAGTAGCATACAAAGAACAGGTGGATGCGGAAAGAGTGATATCAAATAAGATAAAGTATTGTGAGAGGATAAAAAAAATCTGAAGATAAAAGTTAGTGTGAATATTCGAGCTTTAGATGTCAAGGAGTGAATATGTCTGTACCACTGTGACCGATTTTGAGTCATATCACCAAGAGTCCCAAACCACTGATTCCAGTTATCTTGGAAACCCCAATCAGGCAGTCTACATCATCCTACGTGACTCAGACCAGCAGTGAGAGACTTCATCGACTGGTTCCAGGTCTTGGTCTGGCCACACTGAACCCTCAACCAACCTAATCCAACTTCCATGACCATGGCACGTCAAGGTACACAGTGGCTCGGTATGTGTAGTACATGCCCTAGCTATCTCAGTTGACCAAGGTTCCCAACTTCATTGACTGGTTGCCTTCGACTGACCTCAGAACTGTTCACGTGATGATTCTATCAAACGCAAGCAATGCTATGAGACATTTATGATCAAAAATCTGTAATCGCTTCGTGTCTTCAACTTTTAACGGCCATATCCACAGCCGTACAAAAGGTTAGAAAGGATTTCAGCTCGGATATTTTACCAACACCACAAATGACGCAAGTTAGCAAATATCAAACGGACCTTCTGTATCTGAGCTGAGATTTCATCAGCAATCATCTCGTTAGGTCTAATGCAACTCTCCAAGTAAGAGAAGTAGTCAACACATTCCACCACTTCACTCCAGATCATTAAACTGGAACCACTTACAGGAAACCAGTCCTGGGGAGTCATCCTACAGTCTACAGGTGCGAAACTCATGCTAAAAGCACTCAGATTTCTGCTCAATGTTTCCAGAAGACCCTCCTGTTTTTCAGCGTCTTCACTCAGCAAAACAATGTCGTCTGCGTGATAGAAGTCATCCACGGAGTAGATTAGTCTCTTTGTTGTCAGAACTACTTAAGGTTGTGTTCATTACTACGTCTACAAAGAAGTCAAATAAGAATATTGACAGTGGGCATCCCTGGCAGACATCACTAATTATCCTCGATTCACATGACAACTTTCTATAGTCCCTTACACAGCTGTGAGAGTTAGAGTAGTGAGCCTTGATTAGCATTATATGCTTTCTCGGCACTCCTTCACAGTTAGACACTGTCACAACACCTCAGGGTCTACTATCTAATCCCGCTTTCACATCAAGAAATATGGCAAGTGTTGGCCACTGGTTGTTAGGCATGCCTGTGTTCTAGGACCTGTTGCAGAGTGAAAATCTGATCGATGCAACATCGCTTAGATCTGTCTGAAACCTGCCTGGTTTTTTCGAGCTTCACTTAGGCATTGAATAACTATGGGCCCTAGGATCTTCGACACAATATAAGTCAGACTAGTCACCCCATGGTTGTAGCAGGAAGATTTATCTCCCTTCTCATAGACTGGGATGATCAGTGAATTGAACCAGTTTGATGATACTGCGATACACTGCACAGTGCCTCCATCACTTTATTAAAAAGTTCCTACCTCCATCCGTGAAAACTTAAGGTGATAAACCGTCAAGTTCTACTGGTTTGCATCATTTCAGGTTCGATACACTTTTCTCAGTTTCACGGAGAGTTCAAGGACCGATTTTACGTCCCGTTCACGTTCATTCTGGATGTTGACAAGTGAAGCGTTGCTGAACGTCAGTTGAACTGCGCTTCAAAGTGTCCTGACCAACTTTCTAGCCACCTGTTCTCAGAGGTTATAAGCGTACCATCCTTTTGGTGATGGTTTCACGCACTACTGTCTTCTTCTTGCCGATATCCTTAATAAGCCTAAATAGTTACCACTTATTACCCAACGCTGATGCCCTCTCCATCTCTATTGCTTTCACCACCCACCACTGCTAATGGTCAACATGAAAACTCTTAGTCAACTTACATTTAAGCTGCTTCCGCTTTTCGTAGTGGTCAGAGTCAGAAAGAATCAGTCTTCTTACATCTATCATTTTGGATGACGTAGAAATCCGATGAAGTTTACTAACCTTTATGTGTAGGTTACTAGTTGTCGTGACCTCCTTTTCTACAACAGACTTAACATTGCGCAAGGTCTCCGCAGGAAGAGTATTGCTGTCACATTCAGACAAATGTTTAGCTAACTCCTCTCGAAATTCGTACCTGGCATCTCCATCTACCAGCCGAGTACAGATGGGTCTCACTACCTCCTGTTTCCTGCTGCTAGTAAGGTGCCATTGATACCACCACTCCTTGCTATGAAACATCTATGATAGAATATCAAATCTCAGGGCTCGCCTAAGGACTCTGATATATACCGACGCATTAAATATATGTGCTTACTATCAGTAGATAACAAAAAACAGAAATATTAGTCAATTGACTTTGTTTACTTGTACAGATTTTTTATTATAGCACGAGCAATCGCTTATATACAAATGCAATAGAATTATAGAATTTGCCCTTCTTAAGCAACTACCAATGGACCTTGACGTGGCCAACTGAATTAAGGGTGACAGTAGGGTCGTTCTGAGAAGCTTTGAATTACTGAAAGGATTACATCTGTTATAGATAAGCTGGTGGACAACTCTGATAATGATGATAGTTGAAGAGATGGGAGTTATTTCTAATACTATCGATTTGTGTTATGTGGGAATTCGGAGGTGATCTGGATTTGCCATGAAGGACTAAATTACAGACAAGAAGTTTGAGTCGGGGTTCACCTTATCACTAGGCCTCAAACCCCTAAACCTAGTCACGATCTGTTTTTACCTACCTAAAAATCCGTATTACTTGATTCCAAGTAATTCTGCAGTATCCATTAAGTCATAAAACAGTAAATGAACAGTGTGTAGGTTCTCTTTAACGGACATACTTCCTGTTTACTTGCTTCTTTATACTTCATTTTCAAGCTTTGTACTCAGGAATCAATCTAGTATCCAATGTCATGAGCTTGATGTTTATCTTTTTGAATTCTCGAACTCTGTTTCTTGAATCTTCCTGCAGGGGCTGATACAAATAATTTAGAGGTGACTGGTAACCACTTAAATCTCATATCTCAACCGGTTCATTTTCATGTAGATACATAGATGAATATCTTTACCACATATACTTTCAGATTCAGTAGAAAAAGGCAGTTGAAAACGGATAAGTTCCTAAAAGATCTACTGTAACATGTTTTTCATTTCTGTATTAAAAACTAGAAACAAACGACCATTTTCTTGTAGGTGAGTCCAAGGTCATCCTGTAGCCTCTCAAGGATGGATGACAAAATTTTATATTTCCACTGCAGATGTGGTTGGCAGATGAATGTGACTATGATACATCAGCAGATTACAAATAACTTAGTAATGAATTTATGAACTCCAGTAGGCAATCAAATACTGTCTATGGAAACAAGTTGAATTATCGTTCAGTTTTCAATGACAAGTTGACAATTTGTTATTTATCAGGAGATATCAAAGAGGAATGTTAGATATTATCCCAATTATGAATGACATTTGGCTATTCTTCATTTGTGTGTGTCATCTCTACAGTAAACGATATGTTAGGCACTGTTCACTGAGTACAAATGATGTTCATTATCTCTTACTCGAGTTTGACATTTTTACTTGTTGGGTTACATAAGTGAATTGACCAACTAACTTTGACAATGTGACTTTGTCATAGAAATAACTGGATACAGTCTCTGGTCGTTTTTTAACAGTAACTAGTAGTGGGTAGAAACGTAATATAGGATGTAGATTTTATTTTACTTTGAAGCAGCTAGTCGGTTGTGAACATTGCTGTTACCTCGTAGATAAGAAGAATTCATACAGATCT